AAAAATATTTTTTGTCCGATTCATCGATTAATCGAAAAAATAATCGGCCGATTCATCGATTTTTAAAATAATCGTTAGTTGCAGCCCTAATTTGGAGGACATTCCGCTGTGTCAGAGTATAGTGTGTATCTATTTTAAATTTACAGGACTGGGGCACAAATCATAACTACACTGGAAAACAGTTATACCATGAAGAAAACCTGAAAATTTGAAGGACAGCAGTTCTATATATCTTATCTCTCTATATTTCTATAGATCTTCACTATAACAGATATGAAAATCAATCACAAAATGCCAAAGCAGAGAGAGACAAGGTTTAAATAGTTTAGGTATTTTCACTGGTTTTATTTATATTTAATTTTAACTTCTGATTTTCAAATCTATTTTCGTTTTCAGTATTTGGTAGATAGATTAGTTTTTATTTTTTTGATATGCTTAGCTCCAGTTAAATTTTTAACAGTTTCAGAAATAGTTTAAGTCTTTCATGTAATACGACTTTCTTAAAGAGGTGGAGCTAAAAAAGTGCCCGCCCATTGAGTGTATATGAAATGATGATGAAGGACTTTATATTTTTGTCAGTCATATTTATTTCACTTTTAGCTTCTCAAAATACCAAGCAAAAAATACAGAATAATATGCAGACAAAATGCTTCTTAACATGTAAATAGAGAGCAAAGCTTATAGTTGCATCCATAGCTTCAGATTTACCTGTCTTTAACGTCTACCATTTATTCAAAATTAAAATTATCCCCAAGGTTGCCGACTTGGTCACAATCTTTGAAATGGAGCAGTTTGTTAAAGTGACTGAACATCCTCCCTCTTTTAATGGGAAACAAGCAGGTGGAGAAGCCGTTCTGTTGACCCACTGCAGTAATGACTAATCAATTATACCTCCCCTTTTACATCGGATTTATATTTTCTCATACTTACAATAAATAATCTGGGTTTAACAGAGTTTTTCCCATCAGAGGGAAGCAACTGTTTAATGCTTGGTATAAATCATTTAACACTCCTGAATCAAATGCATGGCTGGCCTTCAGATCTTTGTTGACCTGTCTGACATGTTGATGAGAGTATTCTAGTTTTTTAGAATGCATTGCTGAAGCAATGACACATCTAAAATCCTTAGAGGTTCTGCACCTCTGAGCTGGAACTGAACGTATACGCTCTAAATTAATGGAACTATTTAAAATTGATAGGGAATAAATTATACTATATTTTACTATCTGTTGCAAGATGAGGTTTTGGAAGATTGTCTCATAATTGAATCCCACTCCTTACTGTCTATTCCACAACTATCAAAGTAGATTAGGTTGAGTTTAACCAGACATCTTATCTATGCTCAAGAGTGAAAACAATCCATAAAATTCAATTATTAGGCTCTTGTCAACTTTTCTGGTTTGAACAATAAACCCAACCACAGAAAAAATAAAAATAAAAGCAAAACAAGACACTGTATCACGTTTTTTTTTTGTTTTTTATATAAATGAAAGCAGTTATGTTTTTAGGTTATGGCTCCTTTAATCTCATTCATTGAAGAGATCAAAAACTGTTAACAGCTGCAGTTTTCCTTCCATCAGTTGGAATATGGATGATCTCTGCAGATGATCGCGAACGCTTTCTGAGGTACACAAGTATGGAGTGAACTTTGTTTGATTATTTTTTCAAGAAAAGAACACATTTTGAAAACAAAAAAGGTATCCAAAAATGAAACTTTGAAAAATTCAAACAAAAGGTTGAGCAACAATAAATGTTGCCACTAACGTCAATGTAGACCAATAGAAATGTGTCTTTGCTCCTCACTCCAGGGGAAAGCCTGAAAAGAAGAATGTGTAAAAAAAAAAAATAAACAAATAAATAAATTTTGTAAAAGTAAAATTTGAATTTAATAAAAAAAAAAGGGAAATAAAAAAAATACAGTTTTTTATATGTTTTTGAAAAAAAAAAGCTTTATTTCTGGATGGCATTTTTTCTCTAATTTCCATTTAGTAAATGTTAAATGCCTTGAGAGAACATGTGCTGTAAATTTGCACTATATAAATAAACTGAATTGAAAGCATTCAACAATAAATAATAAATTCACTCCGTAGACCCAGAAAAGGATGATAATGGAGATTAAAGGTTCCCCAAACAGTAGGACCATCAAACATCTTTGTACTCTTCGCCACTCAGAGGAGCCTGATCAATGGGAGATTGCTTCTCCCCAAATACAGGACCAGCAGACTGCTGAACTCCTTTATTCCTCAAGCCTTCAAGCTGTACAACTCCCCCCTTGGGGGAAGAAGGATGTGATAGGAAGAGGGGCAAGGGTCAGCACCCCCCTCCTTGGAAATCTTATGCAAAATATTTGTCACTCATGTGCAATATTCTTCTCTCTCACTGTGCAATAACATATGCCAACTAATGTGTAGCGTTTGTAATTTTTGTACTTATTTATAAGGCCAGAACATCTCTGCAGTACAAGTGCAATAATCCAAGTCAACTGTGTAGACTTTCCTTAGCTCTATTTTTATAATTCTCTCGTTATTCTTTTTGTACTATATACATTCTTTTTACATTGCATGTTGTATTTTTATCCTTAATGGCATAATGCTTTAACTCTTTGTATAAAAGCTAATGGAACCAGAATTGTCCTGAAGGAGTAATCTCAAGGGATAAATAAAGTTGAGTCTAAGTTTAAGTCTCTTCCTTCCAATGGCTGAAGAAGCACCTTCCCAGATTCATGTTATTAGGTACGATGGAGTCTCTGTGGAGAAGCCCTCATCACCAGCATCTGCTCAGGCTGCTGTGTGATGAAAAACCTAAAGGGGGTTTGCTTTTATCTAACAAGCTTTTCCGGATACAAATAGAGAAAAAGAAAATATATGTTTTTTTCTCAGCAAATGATCATAATTACTGATATTTAGATATTTACAGATAAATATTCAAGCATGCCAAACACAGTGGTCTAACTCTAACTCTGTACAGAATAACACATGGATAAGTAGGTGCTACAATAACACAATAGATTCACAGTACATCCAAGTTGCTACAGTTTCACATCCTTCAGCATTCAGGAATCACAGTGAAGTTATCACTATTGCCATCAGGTTGGACAGCTGTGATATCAGACAAAACCCCAGTGTGATCCCTGCTTCGCCATCTATTGTCCTGGAGGCAATGTGGTCCTTCGCCTACAGTTTTTCCTACACTGAGTCTGACTGGATGCTGTGCCAGCGGGTGGTTTCAGTTTGTCCCAGACAGCAGGTTTCCCGCCAGTGCTCCTGTCCTGCATCTGAAGCATCACGACCAATCATCACGCGCCCCAGGATGCTGTTCTTCGTGTAGACGCGGCCCTGTAATAATAAACACTGATTCAGTCACTGGACCTCGCATCGTGGCTTAGTCACTTTTCTGAAACTCAAACCTGCATGACGATGAACTCGAGGAGCAGATGCAGCTTGGTGATGTCACCAGGGGGGAGGTCAAACAGGAAAGGAGCATTCCAAATGGGGTTTGGACCGCTGACCACTTTAGTCTCCTTCGTATGAATTATTTTACCATTCTGATGTAGATTGATGACAACATAGTGATCTGTTGAAAAAGCAGACTACTGTAACGACACACATCTCTTAAATGTGACCTTTAATTTACAAGAAGGTTTCCTGCTACATCTTATATTAGGCTGGTTACTCAAAAACACATATTTTCTAATCTTCTATATCTTAGTTATTCTTTTTTTTAAAATAAAAATAGCTTTACTGTAACTAAGGTTGTTGTTATATGCAATGCCATTGCTGGGACTTGAAAGTAAAAAAATGGTATTTCATAATAATTAACAAGATTTATATTCATAATTATGAGACATGAGGTCATAATTATGAGATTTAAAGTCCTACTTTTGACTTATGAAGTCATAAATATGAGATTAAAAGTCATAATTTCCTTTTGATACTTTTTATCTCATAATTATGACTTCTTATCTCTTAATCTAGTATAATATGGAAGACCCTTTTTTATTCAGAGGAAAGAGGGAAAGTGTTGTAGCACCACCTAGTGTCCATCTGTTAATGTCTCTGTGTGGGGGGTGGGGTACAGTCTAAATCCATCCAAATCTGGTCTTTGAATTAGTGTCAGGTTCAAACATCTATAGCGTGTTTAAATCTTCCCACATTGGTGACTGCTGGGAAATTAAAGACACTTATAAACGATTGTGGAAGAGCAGAAAACATTTCTGTACCTGTATCCTGGATACTTTTTTTTTTTTTATAAATATGTGACTAAAGTAGATTTAATTTCATTATTGTTTTTATTTTTGCTTTTGTTATTTTGCTGCCCTCTATGAGGCTTTACCTCTTTAAAGAAAGGTTATGAATATGTAAATGTTATGTATTTTAATGCTGATGAAGGTTCTCAGTCATCCAGGTCATAGTCATTCCGTAAAAATTCAAAAAATATCCACTGGACTTCAAATCTTGAAAACCAAGTCCAGTGGATATTTTTTGAATTTTTACGGAATATGTATTTTAATGTTCTTATAGTTTTGGAAATACTTTTAACATTAGTTTTTTTTTTTGTAAAAAATTTTGTTTTTTCTAACTGACAGCTACATTTTGTTACGGCGCGCAAACAGTTTTTTCATGTTTATTTTTTAGCATGTTCTGCCTATTTTCCTGTTTTTGAACTTGGTCACAAGTAATTTGCCAAACTCCACTGCAGTTACCTACAGTATATATAAACTTTGCTATTAATGCTAAATTAGCGCAGTTAATCACTTATATTTATTTAAGGTTCTCATTGGATTTATTTGCATTATAAGATTAGGACTAGTAGGACTGTTTGGTATAAATGGTGCTTTATACACATTTATAATGTGTTAATATATAATTGTCTATAATTTTGTAATGAGATTTTCTTGTCGGAATAAAGATCCAAATTTAATGCAAATCTGCAGATGATTTATTCCCCAAAAAAGTATGACATTTTCAGAAAACCTACTTTTGTCATGATCATGACTCTGAGAGCTGCTCTAGTTGCTCATTTTTTTCAGCTGCCTAAGTCTGCCTGGTTTCTAATTATCACTCATCTAATCTGTCTGCTCCGGTTTCCTATATATGCAGCTCAGTCCCAGCTATCGGAGCCAGATTATTGAGTTTGAAATTGTTGTTGAAGCTCTAGTTCATGTTCTCCTTCTCAAGGGCCAGTGGTTAGAGA